TCAATGCGAAATCGATAGCTCCACAAATCGTTCAAGACGAAATTAACCGTGTATGTCGACGATTGACGAGTGTAAATAGTACTGGTGGACAAATCTGGTGCCAATTATTTACAAAGTGTTATGCAGATACATTGGCAACGACAGCAAGCTTACTGGATGATAATACAACCTATATTATAACTGGTGATATCGATCTGATGTGGTTACGTGACAGCAGGTATGGACAAAGATATTGAATATCACATTTTAAATTACTCTTCTCGTTTAGTGCTCAAGTTCATCAATATATGACCTTATCACGCGATAAAGACATTCAACGTATCATTGAAGGTCTTATTCGTCGTCAGACACGATTTATATTTGCCAATCCATATGGAAGTTCTTTTCGTTTAACTCTTCGTGCAAATCCTCCGTCGGATGATTCTCTTCAGCCGGTACATGTTCAAAAAGGTCGCAATATGCGTGTTGCCATGCATAACTACGAACTGGATAGTTTATGCTACTTTCTACGTTTGAGCTACACGTGGTGGAAGCAAACACAACGTACCGATGCATTCGATCGTCATTGGTTATTGGCTGTTTCGATTATCGTTCAAGTCATGGTTGTTGAACAGCATCATTCAGAAATTTCGCCATATCGCTATACAGAATTAGGCAATAATTATCAGGGCTCGCGTGTTTCTTACACGGGAATGACCTGGAGTGCGTTTCGACCGAGTGATGATCAAACGAAATTTGGCTACTTAATTCCAAGTAATATGATGGCAGCCGTCGTTTTAAAACAAGTAACGGAAATGATTAACACTATCTTTCCTGACCAAACTGAACTTGTGAAACAAGTATATTTGAGTATTGTAAAAAAGTCAATCATAAGAAAACCTGCTCCATTTAGATCGATCAATTGCATGCAGATATTCTTTCAGGTATTCACACATACGGAGTTGTTCAGCATGCTACCTATGGTAAAATTTATGCTTATGAAACCGATGGATTCTCTTTACCTCTTCTTCTTGACGATGCCAATGTACCATCGCTCCTTTCAGGCGCATATCTTGGTTTCAAAACACCCTACGATCCTAATGATCAAATATTAGCATCAACACGAAAATTTGTGCTATCCACAGATAATCCATTGTTTTTTCAAGGTGAATATGCATCAGGAATCGGTAGTCACCATACCCAAGCTAAGTATGTTTGGCCAATGGCGATCATCATGGAAGGCTTTACCAATCATTCACAAGCAAATCTTGATAGTGTTTGGAAGAGATTAGAAGCAAGTCATGCTGGAACGTTTGCTATGCATGAAAGTTTCGACGTTAACAATCCGAAACAGTTTACTCGTACATGGTAAATTCACCTTTTTTTTCCTTCAGCTTTCGTCTCTTCTACATCGTACTCGTTTACTTTCAGGTTCGCATGGGTAAACTCGTTGTTTGCTGAACTAGTCTTAGTTCATTTGGATGAATTAGAAAATTGGTTAAACTATCGTCGTTAAAAGTTGTTAAATAAAAAACAGATTATACCCGGTTATCAAAGTTTAGTTAAGCTGGATGTTACTTATAGAACAGGAAAAAGGAAATAAGAGGATGTAGCACAAGAAAAAAAAGGAAGAATGTGATCACTATATTCTGGGCATGACACATTTTCCTAATGTATATATATATATGTGTATATTATAGTTTTTAATTAATTATTCTTAACATGAGAAATATGTACTGATTTAACTCAAATATGGATTTGGTTAAGTTCCTTTTCGGCCCTCATTCATGATGACATCTTTTATTTGATTCACATGAATAAAAATCAACAAGAGAACGGGACAACAGCAATATTGAAATGAAGATTTTTTAAGAAAAGGATTCAGAGAGACAGGTGATTTTCATCGATGCCATTCTCAGGTTATTTATTTATTTTATTTATTTATTCTTTATCTGACCGCCAAAATCGTGAATATTGCTGCGGTCTCTCTCTCTCCCTTTCTTTCTGTTAGCTTCCAACCTTGATATTTATCTTCCTCTAGAATAAAAATAAAACAAAAAAAAACAGACCGAGTGAAGATAGTTGTCTTAAGAAGATTTTATTTACACTAAATACGGGTCCATTTCAGCTGAATATGGATACGATTTAACTTTTCGAGCTTCCAGCATTTGATTGATATAATCAATAGCAATTGGCCCTTCTATTGAACCTCGCCATCGCTTAGCAAATCGTGACGAACACACTTGTCTAAAGATTGCAAAGAGAACTATTAATCATGGATATAGTGTCCATAAAAGCATACGAAAGTTCACTCAGTCGAATAGTTGACTCTGTTTGACTGTCATCTCTGGAAAGAAAAAGAAATGCATGTACATGTCTTAATTAGAAACTTCAACGAGATACAGACCGTTTCGCTACTTGTTCGCACGATTCAAATAAATTGAACGCAGGTGCTTGTCCATGTTCTTCGATGAAGATACTGATAAAATTTGACATTTCTTCGGAATCTTTGGAAATGCTGTGCCAAGGAACGAATAAATACAAGAGTACAAACACATGTTGACTAGTTTCAATTACCTGCACAGATAGGCATGAAAATCCTCCTTTGTCGCTCCTGTTTCTGTTCCACCTTTTGTCTGTGATTGTTGATGGTGATGGTGAAGTTTGGGACTAGTTGACAAAAATCGATTCATGTCTGGAAAAGGTACAGCAAAACGTTTCTCCCTAATAATCAGATTTCAATGCCAGGATCATCAAAGCAGACAAAAAGTGCAAAACTTACCGTGATGAATGATCCGTTGTTTCTATGTTGGAAATGTACGAACAGAGACGATTAATTTGACTAGGCGATAAATTATCAATACTAAAACAATTTTTTACGTCATCGTCATTAATGAGCAATATTTTTCTCATGGCGAATATTTACTCGGAACTGACAATCATTGGGTAACTGTGAATTGAAAATAGGACTGTTGATAAAAGGATCAGTAGTAAAGGTGAAAGAAAAGAAATCATCACGATATCGAAGTGAAGGATACAATCTGGAAAAGAAGCAAAGAGTAAGAAAAAAAAACAGAAACACACACATATATATATAACAATAATTTGTTTATTTGATTAACGTATTGTAGTATAAGAGACATAAATCCATTGAAAATCAACAAAACATATTCCCGTATGTGGTCTGCTCGTTCAACATCATAATTTTCTTTTTCCTGCGTTTTTATGTCTACTATTCAATTATTTATCTGCTCCGCCTCAACAAAGTCAGCCGTTCGTCCTCAATGATAGCACGTTCGTGCATAATTCTACTCTCACTAATAGTGTTCGTTAGCAATAACCAAGAGAATAATTGTTTTTCAATCAGTGTTGCCTTGACGTCATCTTACCTGATAGAAACAAAATTGACATCCGAGAATGAGTTCGTTCCGAGTTCAAGTCTTATATATGTAGATGTACACGCTATTGAAAAGCAAATTCTTAAATAGATATGTAAAACATCGAGTGAATGCTTTCCTTTGTGAAACGATGGAAATGCGGAACATATGTTCATTTCCATTTTGGCTAAAAAAAGCACAATGTCGATATATTCAAATTGCGTTATAAATCGGAACGTCATGCGGGTTAAGAAGGAAAATACATTTAGCATCCTACGCGTTGGTTTGAAAAAATAGGCATTGGTTTCCTTTTACTGCGTTCATTCATTTCAGCTGATTATGTACTGAATAGAGATGATTTTTATTTCTAATGAAATCAAAGAGATGGAGAGAGAAAGGGTAGATTTGTTTTTGATACTCTTAATTAGATTTTAATAATAAATGAGTATGGTTTTTGTAAATGTAGCACATCTGCGTTTCACGTAATTCTATTTTCGAAAGGTCAAGCTGTTAGAACAGGATTAAGATCTAATACTGCATATTCATCAAAGTCATGCAACGGTCGACTTCGTGTTAAATACTCGTCCGACGTTAAATTTCCTTCATGCGTAATTGTTTTTCCTTCACCGCCGAACAATTCATTCAAACCGATCTGATTGTGTAGAAATGCTCGAACGTGTAACAATGTTGGTGGTTCTTTCAAATTGAGAAAACGATTTAGATGCATGAAACCGTCAGATTTTGGCCCGAGATAATAGTTTTTAACAATAATGTCGTCAGGGTCAATATCTTGGAATGTTCTTTGCTTCAGTTCGTCAGCATAACGTATCCAAACAGCGGAATCAATTTCAGGATAGGCTTTTGTCAAGAGATCAAAAATATTATCCCATGTTGCTAATTTAACTTCATCAGATGGTGCAGAGAAAACTATCAATTTAAATTTATGCTGCTTTCCTAATTGGCAACGAATCCATTCGGGTGTATGCCCTATATAAAGTAACATGTCCAAATGAGACATTTTGAGAAGTCGACGAAGTGTCTTATGATCAAACACCCATGAAAGACGTTTAGTAGGATCGTGTGACAAACGAGAAAAATCATCATCGTTTACACCGCGTGTGAGACGACCATACATATTCGTCAAATCGCAATCTTCTGGTAAAGAGTTCAAACCGGTTTTAAAAGCATTAACATACGTATTCATCTTATTCTAGAAAATATTCATTCAGTTGCGAAATGGTCACACAGTGCTAATTAATTATAGATCGAGTTTACATTTTTTTACAACAATCGTTGTTATTTGTAATTTCTTCCGATCATTGATCAAGTCTCGTCGATTGCATGTAGACTCACATATCCTATTCTATCTTTCAAGATGTCACTATTGATCATGATTAATAAGAGAGTAAAAAAAAACAACAGTTTTCAATCCCCTAGAGAAAAATATATAATAGATGACAAGGATATGATTTCTCTTCAAAGCCAAGGGAAAAGCAGAGTGCGAGAAAAGTAATAAGAACTTTTTTTGATTAATACGTGGATATAAATACATGTCAGTAATACTGTTACCTGCCATTTCCATTTCTTATATCGCGTGGTTATATAAATAAGAATATATAGAAGATTTCACAACCTATCAAACTCATGGGCCAAAAATATTCACGACCCGAACCGTGTTATCACGGCTATGGTGATCAACCACCTGCCAAACGGCCATGTATATGTCGTCGTCGATCATCGGGTTTAATATTACCACGAGGTTCTAAACCCGATCTGTTTCCTCATTATCAACGACCAAAACAACGTCGGTGATGATCTTTTCATGTTATCACTTTTTTGTTTTAGTTAACATGAATTCTAATAAAAGATCACATTCAGAACAAATCTATTTCCTGAAAATGCGTCTTTTTTATCCTACATTTACGTGAATACTCCTTAGGGAGTGTTGGCCATAAATACATCAATTAGTCGTGGTTGCTAAGCGACGATCACCCTCTTGTTAACTCCATCTATACGAAAAAAATGACTACTGATGATCTCGATCATAATTTTAATTTTCTTGTTATTTCCTTTCGAATTAATCTATTTTTGTTGTAAAATATTCATGATCACTTTCTAGTGAGTCATTTCCATTTATATATGTACTCCTCTATACTGTAGGTTATCTTTTATATTCATTTGATCTGATCATCTTGTTTTTATCCACAGCCACATCACGATAATACAATACGAACAATGTCTGTCGGTCAACGAAGCATTTTAGACACCATTGCTGCTGAAGGTGTTCATGTAAGCTTAGAGAGAAAAAAAGATCTGTTAATTATTGTTCTCCTCTTCGTAGTTCGCATTATGGTCTTCAATTATGAGTGTCGGTGGGGGTTTAGGAGAGATCTTCGTCAATCATGATGCTCGTATGCATATTGCCGGCGAACACGCTATACCAGAACTTCTCGAAGCACACAAACGATCAAAATATTTAACGAATTTGATGTTACTTGTCAGTGGGGTGTCCGGTGCATTAGCCTACCAACAAACAAAAGATAACTATTGGCTTATTGGCTCAGGTTTAATGCTCGGTAGAATCTTTCTGAATTTCTCATGCCTGTACCTATAAACCCTGTCTGATTGATTATTTAGCTGGTATTCCATACTGTGCACTAGTCGAATATCCAGTTGCTGAACAACTCAAATTCTTAACACTCGACGCTAAATCAGAAAAAGCTCGTACGTTACTCGCTTCGTGGGGTGGTATTCAACTTGGTAAACTCGCATTAGCCGTCGGTGGTGCCACAATTTTCTATTGGTTCGCTCGTCGTTGAATCGATTTGCAAATGATCGAATGATCGAATTTTTATCTAATCCAGCGCATTTTGTCTCACACTATTCTTTTTTATGTATTACTATATATATCCGTGCAGTATAGATCTTTGTTAAAAAATATAAAATATTAGAAAAGGATTTCAGTCAAAGTAAAACATAGAATGTAATAAACAGTCACCAAACTGATGAATATTGTAGATACGAAACTATCCATGACGGAAGATCTACTGATTGGTATACGGAATTTCATTCAGCCGTATTTACCTTTATTAAATACCCATAATGTTGATTATTTAACGCGTGATCATTGGAATACCTATGTACCACATTGGATTCGACAAGCAGAACGAATAAATCTTTATCATCTATTTGAACAACGCTATCGAGAGTGTTCACCAGCACAACATCGACTGGAAGAATTAATTGATGATATTGTCGGATGGAAGAAGAAAATCGAACAAGTTACTTACACACGAGAAAGATTCCAAGATGAAATTTTGCGAAACAAAGTTCAGCCCAAACTGTACCTCTGCACCAGTCGAACATTTATGAGTCAGAAAAAAGAACATGAAGTAGAAATTTTAGCTCCAGTGATCGAGCAATTGGCGAATATGGCTAAGGCAGAAGCGATTATCGACTATGGAAGTGGTCGTGGCTATTTAGGTGTACAAATTTCTCATGATTATGAACGAAATGTTCTCGGAATTGAATCCTGTGAAGCCACTGTTCATAGTGGTGAACGACGAGTGGAACTTTTAGCAAAACATCAGAAGGAATCAATCGACGAACCCAAGTACAGAACGACATCAACTATAGTTACAAGTGAAACAAATTTTGAAAAACTATTCTATCAAACATTCCATTCTCATTCGTCATCGTTTCTTCTCTGTGGTCTTCATGCATGTGGATCTCTCTCCTGTTCACTTATTTATCATTTTGTTGAAAAATCAAGTGTACGCGCCATCGCCAATGTCGCATGTTGTTATCATTTATTAGAAGAAAAATTCGTACCGAATCCTTTCACAAGTAAGTAATGACACGTTGACAAAAATGACTCATCCATGATTCTAGAACATTGCAGCGAAGATGATCCATGTAGCTTTCCATTGAGTCAGCAGTTGATCGAAGAAAAAACAAAATTGGGGCGAAATGCACGCATGCTTGCTGTTCAATCGTTTGAAAGGAATAAAGCAGATGAAGTAAGAAGCAATAGAAATCATATTCACAATTATTTTCTTTGACTTATAGACGTTGAATGCCGGCTTATGGTACCGATCATTGATGCAAGTCATTCTCATGGAAGTTTATGGACTGACAACGGGTTTAGAAGATATTAAACTAGGTAAAATCAACCGCCGACCGATGACATTCGAAGGATATGTTTGGAAAGCATTAGAAAAGCTAAAACTAGACAAAACAAAAGTAAAGTTTCTTATTCAATTGGATTGACAAACGATGTTTGTATGTAGATCACGTCGGATATTATTCAAGATTATTGGAAACGTTATGAATCTCAGCAATCTCAATTGCATACATTCGTTCAATTAAAAGTTCTGTTTTCTGGTTTAATTGAAATGATGATTCTACTCGATCGACTCGTTTTCCTTCAACAATCTGTTTGTTTCCTTTTTTTCCGGCTGAATTTCCTCCATATGTTCATTAAATACTTTATTTTTCTATTTAAGATTCCATCGGCGTCGTCCTATCTAGTGGCACTTTTCGATCCAATTAAGTCACCACGTCGTTGGTGCTTAATTTCAATAAAACCAAACGATCAGGCGGAATGAATTTTATACTTTTTTTCTTTTTGATTTGTTTTTCAGATGGGTACACCTCAGCGAGATGTGACTATTGATTACACAACTGCACAAAAAGAACTTCTAATCGAAAAACATTGCGCGTTTCTGACTGGTTACGGTCAGTCGCACAGTACATATCAATATGGTGTCACCGATTATCTTCGTATGAGTGGAATATATTGGCTCTGTACGTGTCTGGATTTACTTCATTCATTAGATAAGATTGATCGCAACTATATTGTGGATTACATACAGAAATGCCATGACAAAACGACTGGCGGATATGCACCGGCTCCAAATCATGATTCACATTTATTATATACATTGTCAGCAGTACAAATATTAGTTCAGCTGGATCGTGTTGATATGATTGATAAAGAAAGTTTATGTTCGTATATAAAACAACTACAACAAGAAGATGGCAGTTTCTTTGGTGATCAATGGGGTGAAATAGACACACGTTTTTCTTTTTGTGCCATCGCATGTTTGAAATTAATCGATTCGTTGCATACGGTTGACATTGATCGTGCAACAGATTTCATTATGAGCTGTTTGAATTTTGATGGTGGATTTGGTTGTATACCTGGCGCTGAATCACACGCAGGACAGATCTACTGCTGTCTTGGATTCCTATCGCTTGTTCAACGTCTCGACAGAGTAGATTTATCGACAAGAAACATGTTAGCATGGTGGTTATGTGAAAGACAATTGGAAAACTCCGGTGGATTGAATGGTCGACCCGAAAAGCTACCTGATGTTTGTTATTCTTGGTGGGTTTTAGCATCGTTGAAAATCCTCGGCAAACTTCAATGGATTAACAGTGAAAAACTAAGTAAATTTATTTTAGCTGCACAAGATGATGAAACAGGTGGATGTGCTGATCGACCCGGTAATATACCTGATCCATTTCATACATTATTTGGTATTACCGGTTTATCTTTACTCAAAGTTTTCGATGAGAATACAATTAAACAAGTCAATCCAGTTTTATGCATGCCTGAATATGTGATTCAAAGACAAGGAATTGCAATGCAATTACTATAGACGTTTTCTTTTATTGTTTTCTTTCTCTTTCGTCGTTTTTCAAATAACAAAAGCACATTCCACGGGAATAAATTTCGCTCACAAATTTTAACCGATGTTCGTGATATGCAACCGTTCGGAGACATTTCACGACTACGCCATTGTAAATCAATCCTTGCTTAGTTGTAGAATCTCATAAACTAGTTGTTATCACGTCTGTAACATTCGTTGGGAATGGCTCTTTGTGTATAACCTTGACAATCTATACGACCTCAATAACATTTGATTACAATCACGTACTGACCATGAAAGGCTTACTTTCGCTCGATCTTTCTCTCAATCGAATGTTGTTGACATCTCAATATCGAGAAGAAAAGGAAAAAGTTATATCTGCGTAATTTAATTATCAAAGGTTAAAAGTATTAATCTATATACGTAGCTCGAATACGAGACTCCTTTTATTGTTTCATTTATCATTAGATTAATCCCGTTTATAGGCCGATTTCAAACATACAAACATAGACGCCGTGGATTCCCTAGCATTTTTTTGTATCGAAATTTTGTAATCCACAGACATATAGACATAAATACAAAGTACATCATCGTGACTTTTTTGTCAATGAAAGATGAAGAAGTATAAGAGAGGAAAAACAACAAGGCCTTCATCTGAGGAGGCGAGCATTTGACAAGAAACTGTTAATCATATATAAATATCTGTGAAAGATGTAACTAATCGTTTGATTTTGTACCTCCTCGATCATATCATCAATAACAATAACAAGACAAGCTTTTGTGATGCTATTCATAGTGATTGCAGCACTTTTGAGCCATGGTATCTATGGATTACCAGCAATCAATTTTACAGATAGTGCCGTACCAAAGGAAATGATTAAAACATTGAGCGAAGCTCTTGTAGCTCCAACTGAACAACAAGCAGGTCAAGTTGATCCCAAAGGTAGGCATATTTTGTTTTAGTAGATGAATTCATCTATCGTATTGATTTTTATTCTAGGATTTTACTATCCATATGCATATCAAAATGTGAACTGGTACAACTTTCCTTATTTATGGCCCGCTGTTGCTGGTGGTTTGCTTGATCCAACTGCACCATTTGCCGGTCTCGGTGCATCGCTGACAGGTTTGGGAACTGGTTGTCCAACGGGTCTTTGCCCATCTGGTGCTACCTGCTCGCAACTGTCGGGCCAATGGCAATGCGGATGTGGCCTCAATGGATGTGTCGGAGGTACGTGAGCTATGTTTGTTTATTTATTTATTTATTCATTCATTCAGCTTTATTAGAAAGTTGTAAATTGTTAAATTTCATTAGGAGAGATCTTTCTTTTTCTCGGAGTTTTTCTTGAACAGTTTCGTTATGGCGAGTGAGATATTCTTGGGAGACTTCTGCGAAGATCTGTTGGATTTGTTCACGTGCAACGTTTGGATATTGTCGACTGATATTATCGATCATGCCGACTAGATCAAAACTGGACTCTTCAGCTGTTACCGTTGTTATTAGTGACGAATCTTGTGTACTTTGATCGTCGGTTGCTGGTTCGTTAATAGTTGGAATTTTTAGAATAATTTCACGATGAACAGAGGCTGGCAATGCTTCAGTCAGCGGATAAGGAAAGAGTGGCTCTTCGAATAGATGAAAATCAATCTAGAATACGCGATAAAAAGAACTAGCGTTCTTTGTGAAAAAGAGAGTGTCTTACTGTTCTTGTTTCTTCGATGTTTTCAATTTCTTCCGGTTTCGCTTCGAGTAATGTTTCATACAAACGACGATGTTGAAAAATAATTTGAACAATATAATCGATCACTTTCGGATACAGATGTGCATTGAAAACCACTGGTTTCTTCGCTGATTTTTCTCCCATCAAAATCGAACATGAATGTATGAATGCTTCGTTCAATTTTGTTGGATTAGTTTTATCTGTTCGTTCGATTTGACATAGTAGTCCATGAAGCAATGTAATCATACAAATCGTTTGTTTTGGCGTATAATTTGCACGAAGTAAATCATTTAGGAACGAGGTATACAGATCGACCAGTGCTTCATCTCGATATGTCTCACGTTTGAAGAACGTATCAGAATTTACTTTAAGAATATGGTCGAGAACAAACTGCTCTAATTGGACCGGAAGTGGCGAATTTCCTTGATTATCATCAAATAATTG